AGAGGGCATTCTGAACGATGCCCTCAGATCTAACTAATTACGCATCTATCAATATTATTTATTACACTTATTACCTTTATCATCCAATTATAAAGGTTTAAGCAAAAAATTGTCTCTTTTTGAAGCACCCTTTTTTATATCTGATTGCATCCACAGAGCTGCCCCCTAGCCGCAGATAACCTCCTCCGAAACTGTGGGAAATGTCGGCAACATATTTAGAATAATCGATTTCTTGTCTGTTATGTCTGTTATCTTGGGTTGTGTCATAGAAAATTGAAATTTAGTTTTCTATGGTTGTGATGTTAGAGGTAGAGGTTAGATTTTTTATATTGCAGTGATTTTTGCAACCAAAATATAAAATGAGTGTTTCTAATATCATTATATCATTAAACAGGTAATTCAGGACATAATTTGTAGGAAATATTTCACAATAATTTTACAGACTATCACTCCAATCTACACTGAAGAAAGCTGTTCTTAGCAGAAATATTAGCACAAGTTCTAAAGTGCAGTTTAAAGCCACTCCTGTATTATTGTAAGTTTTACTTTATATGAAAGTATCTTCAGTAAAATGTTTGTTTTATTAAGGGCAGAACCTTTGAAGAAAAAGAAGAGATTAGATCCAGCAATCATAAGAGCAAGGGAAGAGAGGAGAAAGAAAAAAATTGAGAAACAAATCAGGAGGTTAGAAAAGAATGCTAGACAACTTAAACCTATTGAAGAATGTGAAGTCCCTTTAACAATTTTAGATGAACGGGAGTAATTTTTATTTGTGATGGTCGTTTGTATGTTTTTTTTATCAATTCAATTTGTAGTAAAAGGGAAAGATATTTACCAAATCTATCACCTGACGTAGTAGAAAAAAGGGCTACATTGGAAAAACAGTGGTCTCATTATAAACGAGAATTGCATTTAGCAGATTTGCAAATATTAGATCGAATTCTGTTTTCTCAACAAAAAGCGTTGGATGAATTACGTAAAGAATCTGAAGAACTCTATAATGAGGCAATTCAGGTATACTTTTTTAAATGCTAAATATTTGTGTCTGTTAATTTTGTTGCTTCTTTTGTAGCCGGATTTCCATCTGATCCCTTTCAACAGTCAAGGTCCTGTAGAAACACCTCCATTTAAAAATTACGTTGCTCCTGATGGTGAATATATAGACATTTCTAAAAAATGGTAAAAAGTCTTGTACAATTTCTAGAAATAAACTTAAATTTGTGTTTTATTTATTTGATTTTTTTTTTTATTTTGGAAATACCTATTTAATGAAAAATACTTTTTGAAGATCACGAAAAATACGTATGTAATATTTTATATTATTTTAAGTAGAGCTATTATATGTATTACAAAAAGAACCACTATTCTTGCTCTTGCTATAAAAGGTTTATCCAAATTGCATATTTTGCTTGTCTTCGTGTTATCATTTGCATATAATTAAGTAAGTAAGATGTAAAACTCGTGAAAAGCCAATTCTACTTCTGAGCATGTGTAGAATATTTCTCATGTCAGAAATTTATAAATTTAATATTAATAATTAACATGTATACCTACCGACTTACGATTGTGTATTACAATAAGTTAAATTATTAGGAAAATATTTCATAAAATGCACAAATTTTGTCTTTCAAAGGTTAATAACTGTTTTATATTGCGATTTTATTCATGAAGCCGCTTCTTGAAGAAATTTGACAATGCACCAAATCTGCTGGTATACAGGGTGTCCACAAATTTCAACGACAACATTTGACTGATGCATATATATTCACGACGATAAATAAATACAATCTACGAAAAAAAAGTTTAATAAAAAGTTTCTGGTTTTTTAGTTACAGGCCTTCATAGTTGTCAAAAGTAAAACTACTAATTTAATTAATAACTTAACCCTTTTACACCGATCACGTTAAAATTTGGCATATTTATTTGTACTATTATGGCGCATTATTTCTTACAACTTTAATCAAATCGATATACTGGGTGATAGTTTTTTCCGGGTTACACCCTCCCTTTTAGCGATCAAAACTTTTACAATGGTCGTATGGACAGCAACATTGAAAAGGTTGTTTGATTTAAAAATTTAATTGTCTTGAGAAAATCGCCTACAGAAAACCATTCTTGATAAAAATGGCATTATTTGCAGGCCTGTGTTTTGGTTTGCGTAGCAGTGCCGCAGATTTAAAACTTTGAGTTAAGTAGACAATGAAAACTACAACTCAATTGCTGCTGTGGCTAATCAGAGGTATAATCTCATTATTGTCATTTGCTTTAAATGAGTGTATTGTTCAGGGAGAGGTCTCCATGGTATTGTTATTATACTTTTATTTGAATATTATTATACCTAATTGATTTTGCTAGTTTTTTAAATTCGTTCCATTAGTTTATTTAGGAGGAAGTTTTTATTTTTATTAATATCGTTTTATTAAACACGGAATATTCATTCAAAATATTATTTACTGAGTTATTGTTTCTCAGCTTGTTACATTGTTTTTCATTCAAACGTATTTGTTAATAAAGTTGATTAGTAATTAACTAAAACATTGAATTTCTATTTTTGTTTTTTACTTCCCTTAAGAATGTGCATATGCAAGGATATTAATTTTTGCTCGGAAACGAAGATATCAAAAAAAGTAAAGAGGGAATATTAATGGGACACCCTGGTAGGTATACAGATTTTGTATGTGAAACAAAAACATCATATAAAATATTCTGTATCATAAATTAAAGAAATTTGAGATACAGGGGTTTTAAGAGAATTGTAACTGGATGGATTTTTAATTAAAAAATGTGTTATTTAAATGATTTTACGATCATTCGAATCCCCATTACCCTCCCCGACCATACCACATATAAACATGACACCACCCGCGGGGTTTACACAGACGAGCCGGCGAAGCAAGAAGAGCACCAGAAGAAGGGGCTCTAGCCGGCGGGGCCCAGCCAGGACAAAAGGAGGTCCCACAAAGCGCTTACACCGGCCGCATTTGCAGTCGGGGTAGACGACGGATGGGGTCCACCTACGAAGGCTGTCCAGGCCTACACGAGATGAGGCAGGATAATGATGAGGGATAATCCCCCTCGATCCCAAATCATTGCAGCCATTTTCTAGCCATGGAATAATGGCGCGAATCCCCATCCCTAAATTCTTAACCTGCCACCTGTCACTGTTTATAATAGAGATCAGACACCGCTCTCTACGAAATATTTCAGGTTAGTTACAGAATGAGAAAATGTATGGTATATCATAATATCAAATAAACCAATACAAATGTGTATTAAAGGTTCCAATTCTCTATAGATCTAAAAATAGAAGCATTCGAAGTATGTTCGAGTTCATAGGACAGGGTCACATTCTAGGGGATTTTGTGTCACCTTTTAAATATTTGGTACGAATTGTTGGGACGTCGGACATACTTCAGTCTTTTCATTGACTTTTTGCCAAAAGAAAAATTACAAATTAGAAACAATTTCTTTAACATGAACAATTCTAAGGTAAAAATTCAAAATATGTATTATTTAACTTTTGTATACAGCGTTTACATAAATATTATTTATCATATTAACCTACATGTTTCCTATAAAAAATGTTTATGTACTTTACGTAATCACCGATTCCTTTATAATTTTGTTTTCAGCTATTCCTCAATGCCGCAAGAATCTACTACAGGCAGATGAGTAAATCTGCTCAAATTACAGAAACTGTAGCACCTAGATACGCAACTCTTAAAAATATCCAGAAAAAATTCCAGGTTTGTACATTTCTACAAGTTTTGAGTCATGTCGGGTAGTCATAAGTAAAAAATGTAGGTTTTTGTTGGTGAATTAAAAACTGTATAATTATTATTTGTCAAAACATGAATTAAGCTTTTTCTTATTGAACATTTGTTGAAAGGTTGATGATGGGTTACCAGTTTACATAAAACATGGTTTCGGTGACAAATTTCTATACAACGTAACATTTGCGTTGTCCATCGTTGGAGTGGGCCTGTCACTGGAAACGTTCTACAGGCTAGTGTTTGGTAAAAAGTAAGATGGGTTGTATTATATAATGTAGTAAATTCCGTAATGTAACAATACCCTCATTGTATGTTTTTATTGTAATAAATTTTGTTTCCAATTATTATTCCCGCATTTCCTTTGTGTGAAATTGAAGTCAATATTTTATTTGCCAAAAATTTAATTTTTTATAGTAGTTTGATTTTTGTTCCAAGTTTTAGAAGCGGGTTGATTTTAAAAAGTATTGTCATATTTGAGAAATGTTTAGTTTTTGAAACATATGGAGGGCCAGTCACCCTAAAGAGAAACACTTTTTCTCAAATAATTTTTAATTGCACCGAGTAGTAAACTCGCTATCAAAAAATTTTAGTACTTACAGGTATTGGGAAAGTTCCATGGTTTCTGGGGAAACGTTATTTTAATTTCTGAATTTGATCCAAATTTAATTGTTTTTAAGAACAGTTGGTTAGTGAATGGTTAGTAGTCGAGTTAACATTGTTCTATAAGAAATTATGTATTGTCTTGGGTATTGCTAAGAAGTTGGAGATCGGCTTGAAGTTATGTTTTGTATAAAATTAATTAAGTACTTTTATAAATAAAATTCATTGTAATAACAAATGAACTCTACTTTTTACAACAAAACTAAGATTTCCTCAAAAACAGTTCAATATTTGAGGAAATCTTAGTTTTGTTTTAAAAAGTAGAGTTCATTTGACATGATTTGCAAAATATAATCAGAAACTTGAGTAGAATTCAAAAATTAAATTAAAAAGAAAGTTTTGACATCTTTTTTGAGCCACACATTTTCATGTGAAATTTAAATTGAAAATCCGCAGGTGAAATAAAAAATTGACATGTCCAAATATGTTTCTTCAAGAAAAAATGCCTGCATAAACAAATCCATTCCAATCTTTAGGTACTCATAGGAACACGATGTAAATCTGGAACATCCTTTTAAAATTTGACTGAACTCTGTTTCAATAAATTTTTTTCCACATACAACGCTGCTGGGTGTACTTATCGAATGACTGAAGATTTCTGAGGGGCAGTAAAATCTGTTTGGTGAAGAAATGTTGGGTAGCAATATCTATAAGCGAAGTAAAATTATTAAATATGCCAGAGAAAGTGTAGAATAAATCGCGTTTTTGACTTCAAAAAATTTGGAGCCAACAGAAGGGATTCTTTTGCTATAAGAGGTATTCTTGATGTTGGTTTCTTAATTGCAATATGAACTACAAACACATTATATTAAATGGTTCAGCATTTATAGTCTAGGCAACCATCTGTAACAAGTGAAGAACCAGCACCAGACTTTTTTTACTCCAGGTTAATATACGTCTTTACATCTTTGCTCATACGAAAATACAACTCAAAAATTCAAATGAACTGTTCTCCATTCACCCTTCAGATTTCTATGTGATGCTTTTTGACCTTTAAGTTAAGCTGTTCTGGAGTAGGTATTTAGTCACAAGAATTGTTTCTTTCGACATATTAAACTTATTGAAATATTGTTTTCTATGTGTTCAACAACATTGTATAATTTACTATGTTTCTGTTAGTATGCCATCAATTACTTTAAATTTGAACACATCTCGTATTTATCTTTGTTATTTAGGCAATATTTTTGACACAAGTTAGGTAACGCACCATCTACTTTGAACAAACACCATGCTAATTTTAGAAACTTCCCAACAGGCCTATTTTAAGAGATCTCAGTACTTTCTAGAGAAGACTCTGCTGCATTGCAACTAATTTCGACAATTTCCTCAAAGTTGCTGGATTTTGTGGTCGATTTCTGTACGATTGTGAACGGTCGTTTCCTGAAGAAATGTACACATGCTGCGGTGATTGGTTTCACCCTTTTATTAATTAAAAATATTTGATATTCCAATGATAAAATGCAAAAACAAAAGTTCTTTTAATCTCCCATTTTACAGTAAAAACATGCTTTTTCTAATACGTCAAATCGTTTCTGAATAAAATATATTTATTAAAAATCTCATATTTATTAATTCGGGGTGAATGGTGAATAATTTCTTGGATTTGAGTAGGTCTTGCAAAAAATAATGTCACAAGTTTATTATTTAGTTATTTTTTTTACTCAAAATTCACCCTGGTAGTTATTGCTCTTGAAGCTGAAATCTAAAAACTGATTTTTGTTACGACCATTTTGATTTTCATTAAAAACGGAAAATTTTTGAGGAACAACAAAATTTGCTTACAGTCTCTAGGGGTCCGAAACCAAAGTGCCCTCAGAGATCTCGATTACACCAAATCAATGTATGGGCCTACTTTTTACATTTTATTGCCGTTGACGTTTCGAAAAATTTGTCTGTTCTTGTCTTCTGAACTAATAATGAATTTTTGTTTTATTTACTTTTCATGGTTAAAAAATAAATTAAAAAATTATGTCACATAACTTATGTTTGTTTTGCTACATACAAAAAGAATTGTTAAATTGATTCTATTGACAACAAACACTTTTGAAAAAGTTGATTTTCAATTTTCAGCTTCAAGAGCTAATACTAGAGAAAGGACGTCAGAAAAAAAAATGTATATAAAACCCATATCATATCCAAAAGAAAGGTCACATTTTCCTCGACAGTATAATTTGAAAAATAAATTAAAGTACCATCTAGTTAAAATAAATGACTCGACCTCTATAAATGAAAATAATTAAAATATGTTTAGAAATTTATTTGGGGCAACTTTTATTTGGGATATTTTTTCATATTATTGTCAAAGTTATAGAGAATACCTTATGTCTCAAGTGAGACACTCATAAATATTATGAAATAGTTATTGTTTATTAAAACATGTTTTTAAAAATACATTTTATTTCGACATGTTTATTCCTTTTTTTTATTGCAAAAAAAACAAGTTTTTATATTTTCTGTAATTTTTTTTTTAGTAGACGCAGCCCACATTTCCGACACTAATAAAACTGAAAAAATGAAAGTACATTTAGAACATGCATCCTCCTTTTTGCCAAAAACATAATGTAAAATTTAACGACGGAATATTGTGATTGGGAAAGATTTGAGAAAAAAGCCAGCATTTCTAATCAATTTCTCAAAGGACTTTTTTTTATTTTAACCACCTGAAATAAATTTTTAATTTGGTCAGTTACCCCTGAAACGTCTTAAAGGGGGAACTGCAAATTTGTTTATTAAATGGTAACTTTCAATAAAAATAATAATTAATTGCATTGACCAATGTGTTCACAAAAAATGTATATTTTCGAAAAATATGTTTCCTTTATAAAATTCAATATTAATATCTCTTGAATAATTTTAGAAAAAGGAAAGTACTATATAAAAACAATAAAATATTTATTTCAAAATATTAACAAATATTGCACACGAAAAATATTATCTAAAACTATCTTCGTCGTCTTCGTCAGTAATTTCAATAGTGTCGACGATCTCATCGATGATTGTCAGGATATTATCCAATTTTTCATTGGCTTTCTTGAATCTTTTTATAAAAGCCAATTTTTCTTCATCAAAGATATGTTCTTCATCAGGTGTGCTAGTTTTCTGTAATCCTTCCTCTGATTTGTCTTCTGAAGTGCTCTTAGAGTTGTAAATATTTATGGCACCATTTACTTCTCCTGGTTCATAATCCTCATCGCTCTTATTATATTCTTCCACACTTATCTTTGAGGTAGGTTCTTCCTTGGATAATTCATGTTTCAGGTCCTTCAATGGAGAAAGTTTATCCACCTCAACAGTCTTCAATACTTCAGGTACTTTCCTTGGCAACTCTCTTGTTTTTTTTATTTCATCAATTTGTCTTGTTTTGGTCTCTGTTTCTTGAATTTTATGGTCAATAGCATTCACCAATTCATTTATGATAGTTTCTTGGAGTTTGGACTTAATCAACTCTTTATTTATAATGTTAGGGTTGCTTTCTATGATCTCCATAATCTGCTGTTGGATTTTGTTTATTTCATCCCTCTCTTGCTTTGACCGTTCTTCTACAATGATCTTTTTGATAGCCTCTTTAGTATGAACACCTTCTTTGGGCTGAGAAGAAAACTCTTCGTCCATATGCTTTCTCTTAAATTTATGTATAATCTTTCTTATGTTTTGTTTAACATTTTGCCTGTTTTCCGCACCTTTTTTTGGTAATGCCAAACTAGTCATTTGTTTAACCTGTTTAACCACTGGCTTAAGAAGAGGCTTATCAAGTTCTTTAATTAGTTCTTCATCTTTCCTCTTAAATGATTTTAGAACTTCAGGTCTACCTTCTTTTACTGATTTTTTAATAGACTCTTCTAGTTCTTCAACAGTATCAATCCCTTTTAACTTTTTTTGTTCAACATTTCTTTTAAATAACTTTGGCAAAGCCTTTTTCTCTTCAGACTTTACTGGTACTTTAAATTTTTTGAAAGGTTCTTTTGTACTATCGTCTTCTAGTTTTTCCAAATTTACTTTTGATGATTTTGGCATTGATATTTCTTTACTTTTAAGTTTTTTGGACCTCGGCAAATTTTCTTCTGCTTCTTTCTCCTCTTCATAATTTTTCGCTGATTCTTTTTTATCTTCTAAATGTTTTGATTTTTTAGACAACTTAGATGATCTTTTTTCTTCTACTTCAGCATCTAATTTTTGTTTCTTAATAATTTTGACATCCTTTCTTTTCTCTACAAATGTTTCATTAGCTTCTTCTGAGATCTCAGTATCATTTTCCACACTTTCATTATCTGCAGTTTCTTCTACATTATAAGCAACTTTTCCATTTTCTTCACCTATCTGTTCTGAAGCTTCTTTGGAATCTATTTTGGTATAATCTACTGTTCTCAGCTCTATCTCTTCCTCTTCAAGGCTTTCTTGTTCCTCAGTTGAACTGTAAGTTTCCATTTTCTCCATAGTTTTTGATCGCTTTTCATCGGATAGATCATTCTCTTCAACATAATCATCTTCAACACTTTCCTGGGATATTTGAAGGAGTTCCTTATAGTTTTCTCTTCGTCTTAAAATGAAAAGAACAGGTTTTGTCTTTATTTTTACTGGAGGAATAGTGAAATAGTTAAATGATAGCTGATGGAAGGCTTCTATGGTGTCGATGATATCATGTGTTGCTGCATAAGGTTTTAAATTTGTGGAAAACTTGCTTTTTGCTTCTGCTATTAGATGTGTATACTGGTACATTTCCCAATCTCCCGGATGTAGATTTTCAGTTTTACTATAACTGATGAAATTTATATAAATGTGTTAAATGTTAAATAACAAGTTTACTATTACATAAATATATAGAAAAACTTACGTCCAGTTGCTATTGATTTGAGTGAAACGTGAAACACCAGTTTGAGCTGCCAAATTCGATATATGCACTTTAACAATTGGTTCATCTTTGGCTAGTCTATGCAGGTGGGAAATTGCTGTGCCGCCAGGGTAATTGGTACCAGATATGCTTAGAAGGAAAAGAGTGAACAAGACATTAATGGCCAAATGTCCGGCTACTCCCAATGAGAGAAAATGGAAAATGGGAGTCTTATTTCTATTTTCCCATCTGAAAATAATTACGAAAGGATATAAAACAAATGTCTTATGCTTTTGTATGAATAATAGTTGATTTAGATATAAATATTACTTACATTCTATGACAGGTGGAAGCTGCAGCTGTATTCAAAAAAGGGAATATGTAAATGATGAACCGCAGTTCCTTGTGGGGTAAAAAAGAATAGAAGAAGACAAATAGCAGTGCTGGTATAACCAATTTTCGTACTCTTTCATCAAGATAGATGCCTATGGGCATTAAAAATACTGATGCAGCCATTCCACGAGGGATTGCAGAATAAAAGTACCACAAAAAAGGAGAGGTCTAAATTTATGTTAAAGAAAAGCATCATGCAAAATAAAGATACAAAACAGAGAACAAGTAGTTGGTTTCTGTCAGTAAGTCATTAATTCTAGAAGCATTCATACTCCACTGTTTAATGTCCAAAAATAAAACGTGCAGGACTTTTGTTTTCACTTAGGTGATTTATATATTTTTAAATATTGATTGGAATCAGTCTATTTGTATTTAAATATAAATATTTGTTAGATGCTATAAAATGGGACCACTATACAAATGAATTTGAATTTGTTTGAAATTTAAATTAAATCTATTTGGAATAAAATTACTCTACAAAATTATTTCTCAGTTCATAAAACAGATATCGACACTTTATATATTCTTATATAATTGAAAGAAAAAAAGTAAAAATACACAATATATTTTTTTAAAGGATACGCCCCAGTCGGAACTCTTATTTAAAACTGTGTTATACCACAAAACTTCCCCTTCTGGCCATAAAGGCCGATTCCAGAATATCGAATCGATAACCACAGACAGCACCAAGAAAGCTATTCCACCAGGAATGCCAATCTGGAATAATCTACAAACAAGCTTAAATAAATTTACAATTCTTCAAAAATAATGCAATTACTAACCTACCGTTTTAATGTTATTCTTCTGCAGTAGAGATCATAGAGTAAAAGAATACCAAGGAATAAAGCTAGTTCGGCTCTGAAAATTATAATTGCTGCTCCTGAACACAGGATGAAACATTTTGAGTTATTTCTTATCCATCCCTCTAATGCTAAAAGAACTATTGAATAATGTATAAGTACTTGATAACCAAAACACATTCAAAATTTATACAGACCTAATGGTAAAGCAAAAATATTTGGCAGTGGACGGCTTAAATAAAACATGAAATGACTCTGGGTAACTGTAATCGCTATGAACCACTGCAGCCATCTCGTTCCAAATTGTTTCTCTAATGTTTTAGTCAAAACATAAAAACTTCCTACCACACAGGACGCGATGATTGTTCTAACTAAAAAAAGTATTGATAAAAAGTAAAATAGTTTCTTTAAAATATACAATTAGAAAGCAGTATTTAAAATTAAACCTTTGAGTAACTGATCACCTAGTATTATGCAATTAAATTTCAGTACAGAGCAATTTTTATTAAAAATGATAACTTAAACTAAGATCTTACCTAAGTACTGGGCCCAGAATTTGTTCACATCTAAAAATTGAAAAAGCGCAACAAACGGTGCAGCTAGTACTGAAATGAAAAGTGGTCCTATAAATGTTCGGGGCACTACGCCGGGGAATTCGTGATGGTCGTACTGAAAGGTTCAACAATTTAAATACTATTCAAAAATTTTTAAAAATCACTATTACCTCGGACAGATTAAACCTGTGATATAGAATATCATGGATGGCTTGCAAGTTGAAACTTTCCTCGACTTTTGTAAATGGGCAGTAGACTAGATGCGCGGCCGCTATAATAAACATTATCTGTGACATTTTTTTTCAGATTCAACTACCTTTTTACATACATAGTTATTAAAAATAGTCTAATTTGTACCAAAATAGATTTAACCTAACCTAATAGTTTTCATAAATGACATTTCAATGCGGACGTCTACCTCGATTCGAATTCGGGCTGCGTTCAGGATTTCACTTTAATATCATCGAATACTGCAGTGGCGCCCTTTTAAATAAATAAATAAAAATCGTGTATTTTCGTTACCGAAATATACATACATATATATATATGTATTTAGACGTACAATATGAAGTCTAAATTTCTATCATTTTAAAACTAAAAAAAACTTAACTATACTTAAAAACTAATTATAATATTCGCACTTGTAATTCTATATAACAATGGGTGTAGCATGTACTGGCTTTTACATTTAAATTTTAAATGTGTTTAACGAGTAAAATACTTCGTTATGAGTTCCACAGGTGTTTCATTACCAGAAAATTTAGAATTTAGATGGTCAAAAAAGTTTTTTAAACTTTCTGTCATTCTGGCAGCTTGCAGAAACATTAGCCTTATAACTATGCTGTTTTACATTTGAATTAAATCAAAATTACCTAATTGAAATTGAGACAATTAAGAATTCTTTGGGTTTTTAAAAAAATTTATTAGATAAAAACATACAAAAGTATAAAATTAAATTACAAACATAAATATTCCGTTTCTCTTTCGTAAAGAACGCTAGCCTGCAACACAAATTTAATTAAATATCAGTCACAGTTCAAATAGTTTAAGGTTAGTTATCTAACACCGCAGATTTCGCAAACAAAAATAACTTTTAAAAATCTAACAGTTTATTTTTACACACGCGTACATTGATATAAAGTGTCAGTCGTTTGCCAGTAAAATAAACTAGTTGTGAAAATAGACGAAATTTTTTATTCAATACATATATCTCGACACATTTTTGATACTATACTTAATGAACAAGGTTATGGATTGTTGCCAGGTGAATTATAAAACAGTATTTCTCCCTGTACATATTTACTAAAAATTTATAATGTTAATGACGATAAGTAAAATAGGTAATCATATTGTTAAACAGAGCGAATAAAGGATCTGCAATCTTAGATAAATATTATAATTGATGATACTTTGCTCACCATCCACTTCCAAAATATTTTCTGTTTTCGATTCCATTCTTGGTAACACTCCAATAAATCCATTATACGAGAACATTTTTCCAAAAATTCTTTGCAATATTTCTTACTACTTAGAGCTAAAACTTCATTTAATAATAATTTGCCATTTGATTTATTGTTAAGTAGACTATTTAACTGTAAATAAGCAAAATGGGAAAGCTACATTAATGCAAAATATAATACCTATCTATACCTAATACAGAGTTAGAGAATAGAGAAAGAATATATGTGTTCATTTTTTATTTCTAGCAGTATATTTTCTAATATTTAATAACGAGCGTTCAAATAAAAACGTGGTAAAGTTGGTTCTGAAAATTTGGACGTAGGGCGAAGCGTATTATAGCAAATGAACTTAAACGTCATCTGTCAAAGCGCTATATCGCCGCTATCAATTTGAATATTTTCGTTTTAAAAAGCGTTTAAAATTGTGTTTTCTCAAGAACAAAAAGTGTTTATCATAGAGTCCTACTTTAGAAATGGACGCA